CCAGTCTTCCCCAAGGATGAACCCCTGATTAGTTATCCAATACCAAGTGGTAAGACCAAGAAACATACATATAGACAATACAGAACGGACTCTGCAGGTTGTATTTTTATTCATTTGTATTTATATGTAACAACAATGGTTAAAGAAGAGGAGGATGTGAATTTGGGAGTTGGGGGGGGGTGGGACATGGGGGGTAGGAGGAATGAGAGGGAGGGGAGAAGTTATGTAATTTTATTTCAACTAAATTATTTAAAGATAGTTTTGTCGTTGTTTTTCCAGACAGATGTAAAACCTGAAGAGAGTCATTGACCATCTTATTCTTTTGTGATGTGAACTTGGACCACTAATGTCACTGTTGCACGCTTCCAACTTTGGTCTACATATTGTAATTCAGAATTCAGTGTGTGAGAATTAGAGTCATGTCACCCTTGCAGAGTAAGTAAGGAGGGACACAAGTGCTAACAAGGTTTCAGGATAAAACCTAGACCCAGAAGACTTTTAACCTCCTAACAAGATCCATCTCTCTTCAATCCCATAACACCTGATGGACATTTCCTTAGGAGAGCTAGAAACAGGAGAAATTTCTCACAGTAACCACAGCAAATCTCCTAAATCCTTCAGTCAAGACTCTTCAGGAGCCAGGCATAGTGGCATGCGCTTTTAACCCCACCACTCAGGAGGCAGGGGCAGGCAGATCTCTATGAGTTCAACACCAGTCTGGTTGGCATAGTGAGGCCCAGGACAGCCAGAGCTGCTTAGTGAGACACTGACTGAAAAGAAGGTTCTCTTAGGTGAGCAATATAACGATGGCAGCTGGAACTGGCAATTCTCTCCGTTCTTCGTGATAACCTTTCCGGCTCTGTTTTTACTTTCTCCCTGGAAAACAACAGATTCCCTCCAATAGCAAAGCAAATCATCCATGGAGCCTTACCTTCCTCCATAAGGATGTCCTTATTCCATTCTAGTATTGGATGAGACTGAAGCATTGAACTTGGATATAATGTTCATAAGGTTCAAGATCTTGGGGCCTCCTACCAGGAACCCCAACGAAGTGTAGAAATGCAAACGAGTCTGCCCCTTACCTGAACAAATGGCAAACCGTTGACATTTCTACTACATCCGCTCCTACCAAGGGCCTCACTACCTGCTGCATAATTTCATCTGTACAAATGAAAACACAAATTAGCTTAGATCCTTGCAGATTAAAATGAGAAATGAAAAAAAACAAGCTCCAGTCCTAGGGAAATCTGGCACTTGTGAAGTTACAGCTTGAGGTACATTGTTCCTTTGAGAACTGGATTCCTCGGCTGCTGAACTCTTCCAGGTGAGTGGGGCTCTGTTTACTGGTCCCCAGATGGTGGTGCTGTTGGGAAGGTTGTTGAACCTTTAGCAGGTGGCATGTCACTGGAGGAAGAGGGTCACTGGGGACAGATCTTGGGGCTCTATAACCTGGCCATTCTTCATACTCTCTGTTTCCTGTTTGAATGCAATGTGACTAGACAGCCTCCTGCGCCCATGCTTTCCCTGCCTGCACACACACACACACACACACACACAGACACACACACACACACAGACACAGACACACACACACAGACACACACACACTGCCTGCTATGACGGGCTGTTCTTTCTCTGGAGCTGTAAGCAAAACGAACTGTTTCTCCTCTAAGTTGCTTTTGGCAGAGTCTTTTGTCACAAAAATCACTAAGGCAGACGGTATAAAGCTTTCACAGATGAGCCTGGGGATGCAGCCTGGGAGCCCTCCCCAAGGCTTTGGGTGAGACTAATAAAGAAAGAGACCTTGAAGTTTAAACCTGTTACTTTCGAAGTTACCCTTCTAGATGGTATCATTGCCCAGGTGGCTGAGTGCCTTCTCCTTCCGATCTCCTTCCGATCTGCATAAGACATTTTAGGGACAAACATCCTTTACCGGAGCCCCTTTCAAGGTAGGTCATAAAATCAAGATGGAATGTGGGAGGGATCCTTAAGTTGGATTTCCTTCCCTCACCTCTCACTTCCTTTCTTCTTACCCTTTCTTTACTGGCTTCCAGAACAAGGGGTTTGTTTTCACTTCAAAATCATATGTTTTGCTACATTGTGTTTTGTCTTTGTTCTGTTTGGTTCTGAGACAGGGTATCAGTATGTAACCTGGGCTAACCTCAAACTCATGATTCTCCTGCCTCAGCCTCCTGAGTGCTGAGGTTACAGGCTTGTACCACATGCTTGGCCTCCAAGCATGTTTAAGGAGGCTTCACCACGTTGCTATTAGCAGATTCCCAAGGCAAAATGCAGACCTTTAGAGGATAAATTTACAAATGTCCTCGAGTAAAACAAGTGACCTATAAACCCCAGGATTTGTATTTCTGGATGCTCTTCAATACAACATGGAGTGACAGTCATATCATTAAGTCCAGAATACAGTAAATTGAACAAGCATTTCAAACATTTGAGCTGCTGAGCACCATACCATGGCAACACGTGTAGAGAGCACAACTTGGTGGCATGCATCGATGGCCGGAAACATGATGGCAGTGACAGCATCGAGGTTATTAGAGTTACATGTTACTAACCTGGAAAAGATCAATATTCAAAACACTGAGTAAATACTGTGTTATGTCACCACAAAGTCAGAAACTCTGTGCTGAACCATCATATGTCAAGGTCTGTCTCTATATCCAGCTGGGGAGAAAAGCTCAGTAGGAGAAGATTCCCCTACTCTGGGCTGGGGAGAGGAAAGCATTTTTGTCTTCTTTCTCTCTCACTTTCTAATATTTTATCCCCATTTAATTATTTCAATAGACTCTGAAAGAATAAAGTGGTTATTATGTCTTCAGGCATTAGACACCCGGTTAGATTAAGGCACACACTACACACACAACTTTGTGTACTGATTCATGGTAATACCTTGATATTCTTCCATTGACCACAAAGAAGGTAATATTTGGGAAGACTGCCAGAGCCTTGGTTTTTACTCTCAGCTTTGGTGTGGTTATAGATGATGTTTATAGACATGTACTTGTACATAGTAGGTGCTCAATAAACAGATAGACTCCCCCCATATTTCTCAAGGTTTTTTAAGGGGAAGGCTAAGTATACTGTAAGGGGCAGGTTAAGTATATAAGTATACTTATACCAACATAAGTCTCAAAATGTTCCCAAATGAATTAAACCTTTTTTTTTCTTGGAGAGAAAGGGTCCATTCAAAGCAGAGCTCCTTCATCTCAGTACTTCACCCAACCTTCATTCTTTAAACTTTGGAGAACTCCTACATCACTATTCATCTGGTTAACATAATAATGATGCTGTAGCCATAATTTACATAGTTGTCTCTGTTAGATATGCAAGATGAAGTATATGGTGCTAAAATGGTAGGGTAGCTTAAATTTTGCATAATAATGCACCTGCACTCACATCTGCCATAGAGCATGAGGAGACAAGCAGATGAAACAGATTAATAAAATATGAAGAACCACTGAAACTGATAATGAGTCCACAGGGGTCACTATCCAATAGGTATATATCTGACTCTGAGCAGGCATAAGAGTCAGAGACCCAGCTGGGCAGTGGTTGCGCACGCCCTTAATCCCAGCACTTGGGAGGCAGAGGCAGGTGGATCTCTGTGAGTTCAAGGCCAGCCTGGTCTACAGAGGGAGATTCAGGACAGCCAGGGATGCACAGAGAAACTTTGTCTCCAAAAGAAAAAAGATCTACATTCCATGTCAATACCCCTTGCTTCTCCATACAACATTCCACTCATCGAGAGAGACCCTTCTCCCAAATTTTTGGCTGTTAATTTTCATAACACAGTATGCTCAATTAGTGATGATAACATGTGCATGAGTTTAGGACCATTTATTAGAATCCTAACCGAAAACACAACCTCACAAATTTTTTCCTCCCACGGGCACTATCAACTGCCTACAGTTCACCAGGGTGTTGGCGTGGGTTCCTAAAGAAGATCTGCTGTTTCTTTGCCTGGATTTTCACTTGTTTGCTCTTGTGGAGATTTTGTCAAGTAACCAGAAATACAACAGAAACATCTTGCTATAAAGATGGCATTTCCAGAACTCCTTCCTGTTGGCTCTTAGATTCTTCTACCACCTATTCCAAGATGTTTCCCTAAGCCATGCTGATGAAAGGACCTGGTTAGATGTCCAATTTAGGTCAGAGTACTTAGTCTGTTTTTCTCAGGACTTCAAACTATTAGGCATTTCTCCCTTGACTTCTATTACATAAATAAGCTTTTATGACCAAGGTTGAGGGCAGCCTGTGTCTCTAGATATAAGCATAAATAGTAAAAAAGGCATTTGAGACTGTGATCACTTAGCAAATTAACAATACAGTGTTATACTATGTGCCCTTTTCCATCCCCAGCCATGAGATATTCAACAGCCTTACAAATTAAGACGTGAAATATCTTCCTATTGTTCAAGCTTCAAATTAAATAAGAAAGCATTTAGCATTATCCCATGTTCTGGTCTATACCCTTACATAGAAAATAATTTAATTAGTTTTTGTAGCTTTCTTTACAGTCCTAGATTAAAATGAATGGTTTCATAATTAAATCTTGTTTGTATATACACTCTACATGCCAATACTTTTTGGAATGTAAAAATAACACGTGATTTGTAGTGGAAAACTGAAGTCAAATGAAATAATTTAAAATTTTCCATGCCAATACCCAGATACCACACAATTCAATAATAAACAGTAACAAAAAGCAGAATTACATATGTAGAAATAGCTTGTTTTAAATGTTTCATCCAATAGAACTGAAATCCAGGTTTTGTGTTCAAACTTTATTATCCAGTTTTCAAAAAGAGGCAGCATCTTCCTTCAAACATGAGGCTTTCCTGGGGCCGCAGTCTGGTGGCACCCCCTAGTGGGCAGAGGCATCACTGCAGTCTCTTCAGGTCACCAGGGCATGAGCCCTGATGCCGCAGAACCTGGGAAGTACTACAGCGTGCTTTTAACTCCGTCTTTTCTCTCCGAGCTCAAAGAACAGTTGGTTTTGTTGGTAAGAAATCACAGGTGGATCTTAATCTGGAGCTGAGTCTAGCTGGAGATGCAGACGGTGGAAGACACACACATCACCCTGAAATGTGTTCGGGGCCTCAGCTGTCCTCGGGCTCCAAGCTCCACCCACATCGCCCTCTGTCGGGCAGGGCTGCGTGCCTTGGTGCTCCGCACCTGCCACCGTCTTGCTGGGGGTAACAGTGATAGCACTGTTTACATGACCTTATGTAAAACATAATTAACACAGCTTTGCTCACTTAGTAAGTGTTCTACCCAGAAGACTATGAACTCGGATATGTTATCACTATGCGGGTTAAGAATTTATAAATAGATGTAGGATATCATAGTCCCTGCTATACTGCAGGTATTCAATTAAAAAGTAGCTACTGCTTCAACTGTGATTTCTTCATAGCCAGCTCTGCGTCGTGAGTCCACATCTGCCCTCCTGATTCTCCTCTCCACATCTGCACACGATGTCTTTGTCTGTCTGCTCCCTCTCTCCTACTGACACCCTCAGTTTCTCCACACTGAGCTTCTGTTCCTCTGGGAATCTCTGATGCAGCTAACTGCTCCGTCCTCCCAAGATCACATTTGCTTGTTCTGAATAACTCTTGCTTTTGTCCCCAGGATTCTCTGTGCTTGTAATGCACAACTTGTCATTCCCCCATGGAACAGGAGCCACGAGCCCTGTCCTCACTGAAAGGCGGGTCTGAGCAGTGGGACTGGGCTGAATGCCTAGAGAGCAAGGCTCATCTTAGAAGCTGCGGCCCCGGGGCCTGTTGCAACCAGGTGACACCTTGTCAAGGGTTCAGGGATTAGGGACACAAAGGCACAAGTTTGTGGATGGGACGGTGGTGCTGGCTCACAGAGCACGTGTGCCGCATGGAAACGGACACCTGACTCACTGAACGTCTCATTAATATGCAGACCCACTCCGGATACTTCTCCAGTCTGTACCCTCATCACCATTTCGGCCCATTCCCGCATCATCACTCCGTAAGTGCCCCTCAAACCTGCCCCGGCCACCATTCTTCCTGCTCCACAGCTGCCCCACATGGCCCCGGTGAACAGGCCAGTGACTGGTTACAGTGTGACTGGTCACTGTGGCTCTAGGCTGTCCCAGAAGGATACAGCTCAGAGTGTAAGCACCCTGCTTCACACTCAGTATTGGGGAGCCTCCTCAACTGTGTGGCCTCTTAGGTGATCCTGGGAGTGGGAGGTGAAAGGATTGAGTTTGAGGTCAGCCTGGGCTGTGTAGTGAGTTTCCTGCCAGCCTAAGCTACACACAGTGTAAAATCCTTCCTTAAAGAGCCAAAGACTTAGAGCTATGGCTCAGTCATTAAGGGTGCACACTGCTCTTCAGAGGACTGGAGTTGCCAGTACCCACATCAGGTGATTCACGGTCATGTGTAACTCCAGGGGATCCAGTGTCTCTAGCCTTCATAGGCACCTGCACTTACATACGTACGTACGTGTGTACACACACACACACACACACACACACACACACACACACACTCTTAACAATTATTAAAACACAAAGAAAACCAGTTAGCAAATATTAATAAGCTAAAGAAAAGCTTCCAGTAGGCAAGGGATGTGGCGCAGTTGGCACAGTACTTGCCATACAAACATGCAGACCTGGGTTCAAATCCTCAGCACCCACATAAAAGCCAGGTGCGGTGGTGCTCCTAGTGCTGAGGAAGTAGTGACGGGACCCCTGGATCTCACTGGCCAGGTTCCATAGGATTCTCGGTGTCAAAGCTAAGGGAGAGAGTGGGTGAGGAAGACGGCAGCATCAACCTCGGGCCTCCAACGTGTGTGTGTGTGTGTGTGTGTGTGTGTGTGTGTGTGTGTGTGTACATGAATGTGTGCATAGGCACACACCACACCACACCACACCTTTTTTTTCTTGTCAGTGTTCTTTAATCAAAGTCTGACCCTGAAGACACAGCACTCCCACAAGAACCATTGGCAGCCTGACCTAAGAGCCGCTCTTTCCTCGGGGGTTTCCAGGGACAAGTGGCTTGCCCACCTCCCTGGTACTCGCCATGGGGCCTGGGCACAGCAGGGTGAGCCGCCTTGTGAAATGGTATTTCTAGTTATGGAGGGAGTGGACAGCTGTCCCTCTGTCTGTGGGCAGGTGTGTTTGGCTGGCCAGGCCAACTTTCAGAAAGTGTCTCCTCCCACCATGGGTTCCAGGGATCAGACCATCAGGCTTGTGTGACAAGCACTTTTTAAATCACTGAACCACCACAACCATTCTGGTCTCGGATGAAGGCACAGGAAACATACATATCAAACCTGTGCATGTCAGAGACCCCAGGCTGCCTGTGCCCAGCAAACACAGACCCAGAGGGGATTGTAGGCTCATGCAAGCCCGCTTGGGTTCATGTAGAGAGCATCAGGTCACACAAAGATCCACCATGCCGTGTTGGCCATCTCCCTGGGTAGTGAGGCCTTCCCATACTCTTACGGTACTTGGCTGGGCTGTGAGGTGCCCAGTGAGCATGACAGTACGCACGTGTTCTTTTCTAGTACCCAGAGCAGGAGACTGTGAATCTCTTCATCCCAACCCAGGCTGTGGGTGCTATCATCGGGAAAAAGGGGGTGCACATCAAACAGCTGGCTCGATTTGCTGGTGCCTCTATCAAGGTAAGATCATTGCTGCCAGCTGCCTGTCCTCTTGGTCTCCTGGTCAGTGCCAGACAGTTCTTACACCACCCAGAGACAGAATCTGCAGAATGTATTTCCAGGACCCTTCCTGTCTGCTCCCATTCTTCATCATAGTCCTTTCCAGTTCCACCAAACAACTACGTTAGAAGAAAGATACTAGTACTGACCATGGACCCGGTTTGGTCAGTACTAGTATCTTTCTTCTCAAGAGGATAAAAGAAGGCTGAAGATTCCCCCTGCCCCCAGCTGAGGGGATGCGCTCGAGTGGAAGGAGCATTTGTGCTAGCACTCAGCACACCGGTGCGTCATTAGTCCATGCTTCAAGGACTTACAGACTATGAGAAAACAAATTGAATGAAGACCTTTCTGGAAGGTGCTGATAAAATCATAGGCAGACAAGAGCTGATGACATCACCTATTAAGAGGCCAGGACTGAGCAGAAGGCTAGGGACGTCCTCTTTGCTTGCCTCTCTCGGTTGTCAAGGATTGTTTGCCGTGGGCCTGCTTCAAGCCCGGCTGTCAGCTCTGCTGAGATGCTGAACACTGCCGGGAACACTTCCCACTGCTGTGGAAGACAATTTGCTACCATGAGACAACCCCAAATTATGAAACCGAGTCTCATGACTTGGAGAGAAAGAATACTTACACTTTCTCCCTAAGAGCTGGAGTTTCTCCCGCAGCAAGTACGACAGAGAAAAAAATAAACAAACAAACAGGAAAAACCAGAACATTCTGAATTGTGCAGAATGAGGACTGCAGTGCCATTGGCAAAGAACTGCACCTTGCTGCACCCTCAGCCTGCATCTGTCTGCTTGCAGTCAGAGACTCGCACTCACACAGGGTGAAGCCTAGACCGGGCGGCTGTGATGCGGACATGTGGTCCTCTATGCCCAGTGGCCTGACACAGGTAGCATCCTGGCCTAGACAGTGGAGAAAGCGGGTTAAGGTCTTTGATCTGTTGGGAGTTTGTTTTTGTGCAAGGTGATAGATACAGATCTAATGTGTACTGTATGTGGACATCATTTTCCTAGCACCATTTGTTGAAGATGCTTTCTTGTTTCCAAGGTTATTTTTTTGTTTTGTTTTTGTTTTTGAGTCTTCATCAAATAATAAATGGCTGAATTATGTGTGCTCATGTTTGGATCTTTAATTTTGTTCCTTTGGTCTACATGTCTGGATTTTTGCCAATACACATTGTTTTTATTACTATGTCTCTGTAATATATCTTATGATCTGGAGTTGTAATCCCTCAGCATTAATTATTCTTTTTGCTGAGGATTGTTTTGTCTATCCATGGTCTTTCGTGGTTTCATATGAATTTTAGGATACCCTTTTCTATTTCTGTGAAGAATGAGGTACAGATTTTGATTGGGATTGAACCTATAAATAGCTTTTGGTAGAATGGTCATTTTTACAATGTTAATTCTACTAATCCACAGACATGGGTGTCTTTCCATTTTCTTGTGTCTCTGTCTCTTTCTTCAGCAGATTTAAGTTTTCATGTAGAAGTCCCTCCCTTCCTTGGTTAGGTGTACCACTAGATACTGTATTTTCTTTGAGGCTACTGTGAATGAGTGTGTGTCTATAACCACATTCTCTGTATGTGTTATTGGTATAGAATACCAATAGAAAAGCTACTGATTTGTGCAATTTGATTTTTTTTCTTTTTTTCTTTCTTTTTCTTTTCTTTTTTTTTTTTTGCCATTTGATTCTTTATCCTACCACATTGCTGCATTTATTGTCTCCAAAAGTTTTCTGGTAGGATTTTGGGGATCTCTCATATATAGTGTGTCATCTGCAAATGGATAGTTTGACTTCTCTATTTGTGTCCCTTTAATTTCCTTCTCTTGCCTTATTGCTGCAGCTAGTGCTTCAAGCACTATGTTGAGAAGGAGATGGATAGTGGACACCCTGTCTTGTTCCTGACTTCAGTGGGATTGCTTCAAGCTTTTCTCCATCGGGAAGGATGTTGGCTGTGGGTTACTTGTATATAGCTTTTACTCCCTCTAGCTTTCTCTTCGCTAGTACTTTTATCATGAATGTTGGATTCTGTCAAGTATTTTTTCTGCATCTATTGAGATGATCATGTGATTTTTGCTTTTAAGTCCACTTATGTCATTTATTTATCAACTTGCATGTGTTGAGCCATCCGGGCTTTCCAGGGATAATTCCAACTTGATGGGTAATCTTTTTGATGTTATGTCTGTATTCTGTTTGCAAGTATTTATTATTTTGAGTCTATGTTCATCAGGGATATTGGCCTGTAGTTTTCTTTTTGTGTTTTGCCTTTACCTGGTTTAGGTATCAGAGTGATACTGACTTCTTAGGAGGAGTTGGAGCACTCTTTTGAATGGTTTAAGAAGGATCTTCTTTGAATGTCTAGAATTCTGCTGTAAATCTATCTGGTCCTGGACTTTTGGGGTTTTTTTGTTTTGTTTTTTGAAACAGGGTTTCTCTGTGTGACAGCCCTGACTGTCCTGGAACTCACTTTGTAGACCAAGCTGGCTTCAAACTTGTCTCTGCCTCCCAAATGCTGGGATTAGAGGCATACACCACCACTGCCCAGTATCAATTTTTAAGTTTTATTGCTTTTTTAGGATACAAGAAGTTATTTCAATCTTTTTGAATTTGTAATCATTTGTGTCCCAGGATGTGGCCTATTTTCAGAAAAGCTTCCATGTGCTGTTTAGTAGAATGCATATTCTTTGGTGTTTGGATAGACTAGTCTGTAGATATGTTAAGTCCATTTAACGTATGATGTCAATTAATTCAGATGTTTATTTTTTGTCCAGATGATCTACTGGAGAAAGTGAGCCAGTGAAATTGCCTACTATGAATGGGTTAGTGTATGGTGTGGGGTGATGCAGGCAGGGCAAAGGGTCTTGTGAATGGATGTAGGTAGGGCAGGTCTTAGTGGACATCTAGAGGTTGACTTCAGAAGAGGAGATGGTGGTGGGACTCGCTGTGGGACCCTGGAAGATGTGGGAAGTCTGGGTTTGGAGTGGGGTGGTAGGTGGCCAGAATTTTTATTCTTTACCTGAGATTATAAAAGGTGTCAGATACTTAGGAATCACACTTTGACTGCCATACGTGTGTATAACATGTTTGACATATGACATGTGTGTGTCTGCAGAAGGGGTGGTAGAACTTTTCTTTATATATTTGAATCACATGCCCCCAAGAACTCTTATAGTTCTAACAGCTTCATGTAAACAGTCCCATAGGAGTCTTGGAGACAAGGACTCAATATCTACACTTGAAAGATGCTAGGCTAAGACATTTAGCTAGGCGTAGTTGTGCGTGTCTGTAATCCCAGCACTCAGGAGGCAGTAGGTTTGAGGACAGTCTGGACTTTAAAGTGAGTTCCAGGCCAGCCTGAGTTATGGAGACCTTTCTCAAAACAAAATAAAAACAAAGACATAATTTGTTAATGTAAAACATTCGTGTGTTGGCTATGCATGTTCAGAAAGAAGACACACTCCTCACATTCACTCAGCCAGACTCCTTTGTGTTTCTAAATCTGAATGTGTGTGTGTGTGTGTGTGTGTGTGTGTGTGTGTGTGTGTGTGTGTGTGTTGGCGTTGCATATGGAGGTCTGAGAACAGCTTTTGGATGGTGGTTCTCTCCTTCCCCCGCAGGTTCTAGGGAGTGAACTCAGCTGCTTGTTGGGCCATCCTGTCAATCCCAGATTCCGTCTTATCACCTATGTAGAGAAGGAACAGGACTTCTACTGGAAATGCCAATGTACAAACCAGAGTGATTACCCTACAGATTTCCATTAAGGATCTGGAAGCTTCTAGCCTGTTTGCCTAGGTTTAGATGGATCATTCGAATCAGCCTGTGCCTCTCTTTCACCCTCTTTCCCTCCCTCCCTCTTTGCCCATTTCCTGTCTTTAAAAACCTTTCATTTTTGCTTTCCCGTCATTAAGAGCAGTGTTTTCAACTATGGCTGGTGAGTCTATTCTGTGATAGCAAACTTGCCCAGCACACCAAAGCCCCTGGATTTGCCCCCAGTGCTTCGAAATGAAAAAAACTTAAAAAGAAAATTTAGAGCTAGACATCCTGGTGCATGCTTTTCATCCCAGCACTGGTGAGGAAGAGGTGGGCAGACCTCTGTGGATTCGAGGCCAGCCTGATTTATATATTATAGGACAGGTGGGGCCCTGTCTCAAAATATTTATTTTTAATTATCTGTGTGTGGGGTTTGTGCATGGGTGCCAAAGGAGGCCAGAATAGAGCACTGGATCCCCCGAGGCTCAAAGCAGGTGCTCTTTAAGAACTGAGCCACCTCTCCAGCTGGTCCGACTGTGTGTTTGTCTATGTGAGTGTGTACCATGTATGAGTGTGCAGGGCCCAGAGAGGGTGGTGGATTCCCTGGAGTCAGAATTACAGGCCCTTCTGAGCTGCCCAGTGTGGAGGCTGGGATTTAAGTTTATGGTCCTCTAGAAAAACAGCAAGGGCTCTAACTGTTGAGCCCCCTCTACAGCCCGAAAAAGCAAGCGTTTCACAAAATAATTGTGTACATGCATCATATATTGACTAGAAGATAAAATATATTGCATTTCAATACAAAAATCTAAAAAGCCACTTAATAATTTACTCATAAATTAGTATCTATTCCAACACATCCAAAATCATCCGAGCGTGCGCATGTGTGTGTGGGTTTTTTTTTTTTTTTTGGTTGGTTTGTTTGTTTTTGATTTATCGAGACAGGGTTTCTCTGTGTAGTTTTGGTGTCTGTCCTGGATCTCACTCTGTAGACCAGGCTGGCCTCAAACTCACAGAGATCTGCCTGGCTCTGCCTACCGAGTGCTGGGATTAAAGGCATGGGCCACTGACACCTGGCTATCCCTGTGTATATTAATTAAAACAATAAGTTAGCAAGCCAACTGTATCTCTACCTTACAAATAAGTTCTAAAAACTTATTTGATATGGAGGTCTTCTCAAAATTAGTTCACAAAGCCATTTAAATAATGTGGCTTGACTGTGGTTGATATATTGTGCACCCCAATAAACTTATTTGGGGGTCAGAGAACAGAACAGCCATAATATTAAACATAGAGGTTAGGCAGTGGTAGCACATTCCTTTAATCCTAGCATTCCAGAGGCAGAGATCCATCTGGATCTCTGTGAGTTCAAAGCCACATTGGAAACAGCCAGGCATGGTGACTCACACCTTAATCTCAGGAAGTGATGGCAGGAAGCAGAAAGGTATATAAGGTGTGAGGACCAGGAACTAGCCTGGTCAAGCTTTTAGGCTTTTAGCAGCCATTCAGCTGAGATTCATTTTGGTTGAAGACTCAGAGGCTTCCAGCCTGAGGAAACAGGATCAGCTGAAGAACTGGCAAGGTGAGGTGGCTGTGGCTTGTTCTGTTTCTCTGATCATTCAGCATTGATACCTGGCTCTAGGTTTGTTTTTATTAATAAGAACTTTTAAGATTTGTGCTACAGGTTGACTACAGTATTTTACGTTGTTTATGTATTTGGGGTTTACTGTATCTTCAGGAAGACCACACACACACACACACACACACACACACACACACACACACACACACACACAAAGGCCCCAGCATATGCATCTTCTCGGTGTAGGTGAACACCCAGCATCCCCTCAGCAGTCCCCACGTTGTGTCCAGGACTCGGAAGAGGAGTGAGGGTTCTAACAGCCTTAACCAACTTGGGTAGGATACAAAATCTGCAGGGGTGGTTGGACAGCTTTCCTCCACCCCAACTCCAGGTCAAGCACAAGCATAAAGCAGTCGACTGCAGAAAGAGAAGTCACCAACACTGGGAATTTCTTAAAATTTACTCATTTTCAGAGACTGTGGGCTAAACAGAACAATGCAACACTTTTTCAGGTCCCAAAATTGAAATTTCACACACACACACAAATCCCTGGCTTTAGTTTTGCTGACTCACTAGTTATACCAATAGCTGTTTTATCACCTATTTTTATTTCATAATCTGTTTGACTGTAACACTTCTATTACCCACACACTTCTCACAGAACCATGGGTTGTGGTGCCTTAGCCTGGATTCCGGAATTCAGGCAGAGCAGTGCAGCTGCAGCTTCACATCTGTACTCACTACTTTGCTGTTGTGTAAAGATTCACTGTGTGTCTGCACGAGTGTGGTGTGTGCACATGCCTGCAGATGTGTGCACGAGGCGCCCGGAAGAGGGGTCAGTGTCCTCCATCACTCCTCCTGCTCCTCAGGGTCTGGTCCTCCTGCCCCTATTCCCTCAGAACTGGGATTACAGATGTGAGCAGCTGCCCAGCTTATGACATGGGTGCTGGGCTGAGACTGGGAGTGAATTCTCTCTAGCTTCCTGTTCTGAATTAAGAATAGCTCTCAGGGGCACACATGGGTGAGAAGCTCAGAGGATGCCCCTCAAACACCACATCAACCACAGCACCACTCACCTGAGTGGAGAACAAATCACCATCCAAGAGAACAAAGCCAACAGAAACAAACCTTATCCAAGGCCCTCAATTCCTTTTAAAATCTACTTATTACTATTATGGTGCACCTGTTGGTGTGTGCCAGTGTGCAGGTTAGAGGACAATTTGGGGAGTCAGTTTTCCTTCCATGGTGGGTGCAGGGGATTAAACTCAGGTCAGGCAGCCATCTTGGTATGTCTGTGCCATAAACTCTCAGGTAGAATTCTAGCATCCAATTTTCAGCAGTGTAGACACAGTCAACGTCTGAGCTCCTTTGGTTATAGCTGGATCCCGGCATCACTGGCACAGCTCCTGGGGGGGGGGGGGGCAGGAAAAGGGTCTAGGCTAAAGGAAGGGATCTCTGTACAGTCTGTCCTATGGAAGAAGAAGCACAAACAGTTCACCCATGAACCACTGGACCACATGCTCTCAGGTCTGGACAGGCCACCAGGTCTCATTGGGTAGGCTCAGTCATTTGGTCTACATCACAGGCCCAGCTTCCATACCAAGGCCACTTCAAGTCTCAGAAAAAGCAGATTTCAACTGTTACAACCTCTAAGCAGCTTGCCCAGGATTCTCAAGAGCAGATATGTGCATCTGTATCTAACATGCGTGCAACTTTTCCGAGTTTATCTCTTCTTTTTGTTTATTTCCAGAACAAGTTTGGAAAGTTGAAGCCAACAAAAGAGGAGAAGTTATCAGCATATTCTAGGTTCTGCCAGACAGTCTTTTATTACATGATAAAAGCAACACTAGGCACTAGATCTTGTAAAATATGCTCTGACCAACTTTCTGAAATTAAAAATGCATAACCACATCTGTAGGATTTTTAATGAACAAAAAAGTTAAATACAAACTTTCATATACAAAATAAATGACTGTAAAGATGACCTCAGAGCCAGGTACTAAATCTCTCTCCGGAGGCTCAGTGGGACTGGAGTAGGGCATGCTAATGAGCCAAGAACTTAATTTCAGCTTTATATATATTTATATATTAAAAAAAAAAAAACTCTGAGGAAAAATAGGCTTAAATTGAGGAGCATCTTCTGAAATAGACGGTTCAGGCCAGCCCTTTACCATTGTGAGGGTCATACTCAACCACACCTAGGATGAAACATTTATGGTCACAGTTACTTTGAATCCAGTTTCGAGAGGAAGCCAAGCTACTTCAGTTCTAAAAAAGAAAGTCTCTAAGATGAGCACACACTGCTCTGAGGACACAGAGACTGAGGTCCTTGGCCACATTTCCATGAACTGTGCCTGTGTCAGAGCGGCAGAGCCTCTAAGAGGCAGCCAGATCCCCACAACACAGCAGCATCATTTCTTCTGGCATTTTCAAGCCTCAAAAGGGAGAACGTTAACTTCATGTCGGCAGTTCCTACTACAGCATTAGAGAAGCTAGTCAACACCCCCTCCCTCCCCCTGCTGAGGCCCCTCTGCAGCAGGGGGTGGCAGTTTGATTACATTCTTTTCAGAAATAAATAGTCCAAACAAATTATTATAGTTAATTATAAAAGAGCAGTGAGAAAAGGGCACTGCCCAGTGTTTGCAAATGAGTGAGTGAATGAATGCATGGGAACAAATACACAGAAAAAACAATTCATAGAACAAAGCCTGCATTTCCCACATTCATATGGAAATAACTTTAAAACAAACAACATTAATTA